TCAATTCGAGGTTCGGGACATGGTGATCACCAGAGCAATGGGAAGACACCTTAGAAGCTACCCTCATGCCAGGTTCCCGGATCATGAGGACTTACTAAGACATCCTCTACTCGACGATCACCTTTCGAGGCAAGGCAACAGTGAGGCGTACCCTAGGGGTGGTGTGTGATTTGTGTGTCGTTTTCATTTATTTTTATCTTGTCATGGTATAGGTGATCTACGGGTTTGTTTTTATTTAAGGCCAATCATCCTTGCATGCATTTATTTAATAGTTAAAAGTGCGAAAAAGGTAAAGTTCTAAACTATTACAAAAGGCGCGGGTCCACATCGCCAAAATTTCCAGGACCCGATTTGACAGAAAATAAAGAAAGTAAAGTGCGAGAAATATATTACATGGCTTTGGGAGAGGTACATAAATAATTAAAAGAAAAAGAAATAAATACGCGAATTGAATTAAAGTTAGAAACGAGGGCGTTGGACCCTTTTTAATGAAATTAAATTAATAGCAGATTAATTAAATTAAAGAAAAAGAAACTATTTTTTGGTTTTTTGTATTTATGAGAATTTAATGAGATTAATTGAAAATAAAATGCTAACCCTAATTCTAATTGTTTTTTAGTTTATTAAGAAAGTATTAAATTTTAACCTAAAATTAAACCTAATTATTTACATGCAATTTTGATTTATAAAAATAAATAATATTTAATTATTATGAAAGAAAAGAAAAAAGGATAAAAAATTATTACAAACCCTAATTCTACCAATTTTAAATTAATTAAGAAAATATTAAGATTTACTCCTAAATTAAAACTAATTAATTGATACAAAAACTTTATTTACAAAAATATTAGTTAAATAACAATATATTTAATTTTGTCTTTTTTCTGATTTTTATATATTTTTTATATTTTTTATGAAAATGTTTAAATTAAAGAATTAAAAGAAATTAATTAAAATAAAGAAAAGAAGAATATAAAAAGAATAAAGGAAACAAACTCTAGGGGGGTGTTGTCCCCAGTTGAGAGGTGTATTGTAGCAATTCTGGGCCCATTAACCTTTGCCTTGTTGACCTTGTTTGCCAGCGTGTACCCCCATTGACTTGTGTCCATGATGGTCTTCAAACCATGTCCCTTGGATTGGTCTTAGCGTATGCGTGGCAAGCTGGATCTTGTGGATGTATGGTAGTCCTCAGCAATGAAACTGCACGCAAGTATGTTAATGAAAATAATATGAAAGGGGTGGGGACCTGGGGCTCGAACCCAGGTCCTAGAGATTACCAACACCTAGCCTTTCCAACTGATCCACTTGATTGCTTTGTATATTATATAACAAACAAATAACATAAGCGAATATAATAGTTAGTGGATTTTTAGCGCGAATTTTCAAATGGACCAACCATCGCTGGCCACATAACCATCTTCTTCATCGCTTTTGTTTTTTTCCTGAAACAAAAAGAATCAGCAACGGTTTTTTAAACGTCCCCAAATGCCCCCTTTTGGAAAATAGCGATTAGCTTGTCTTGGCATATAAATAGGGCGCGACCCCATCAATGAATTGGTTGGAAGCTTCTGATTCTCATGGTGCCATTATCGTGTCCCAATTTTTCCTTGAATGTAAAGCCCTAAATCAAAATCCCTGTAACCCTAAAACATAACAATGGCAAAATCGCGTATGGGTGATGAAAATGCAATCAAATTATGTGGTTAGCTTCAGAATCATGCAATTAGTACAAATCCATAAAAAAGATGCAATGAACATGCTTAAATATTAAAACACGATTATGCATTTTATATGAAAAATTTGGATCTCTGTATACCGATTCAAGGCGTTAGAGGGTTGGAAAATGATTCAAATATGTTGCTTGATGTCCCAGGAAGGTGATGAGACAAGTATTTTGGCTTGAAACCTCTTGGAACCTTGTTTTCAGTCTTGACTTTTTTTGAGAAAATTCAAGTTTTGTTCTTGGCTTTTTTGCGCAGCTTCGAGCTCTCTAGGATTAGGTTTGCATTCTATACTTATGTGTGAATGATTAGGTCAAAGAATTTGGTCCAAAAGATCCATGAATTGATGAATCAATATTTGATTTTTATGGCATTAGTTTTCAATCTTTTCATGCATATTTGCCACCAAATCATGTCCAATTACCTTCAATTCTTTCCTAATCTGATTTGCACGAAATCTTGGAGATATTTTATGCACAAAAAGATTCAAAACATTAGGTTTAGTATTTTTCACCTATTTAATTTAATTAAATGAATTATTAATGATTAAAAATCCAAATAAATAAAATAAAATGATAAAAAACTTCCCTTTGGGCCAAATGGTCGTGCACATGCCTTGGATAATGAATTGTGGAAGAAAAAGAGGCCCATTAGCAATTTTAGGTCATTTGAAGCAATGTTGACTTTTCAAAATATCCAAAAATTTCCCAACTTCTACAAGGCATAACTTGCTCAATTATTAAGCTTTGCTCATGTTCTTGGACATTTTGGAAAGGTATTTGAGTCCTCTAACAAATGCCTTTGATCCCATGTCATTTGGATTTACCAATCTCAAGTTATGGCCTTTGACTTAAAGTCCCTTTTTGTTGACTTTTGAAAATGACCTATAATGTTGAAATTGATAACTTTTTGTGAGAGCATTTCTTGGACTTGAAGTATGAAGAGGAGTTGTAGGAAATGTCTTTATATTCAAAATTAGCTTTGGATGGAATTTTTATGATAATCCATGTGAAAGTTATGCCCTGGTCAATTTACAGTTGACTTTTTCAACTGTCCAAATATGGAAACTTTTGCATCTTGATGATTTTTGAGCCAAGCTTTGAGAATCATGATCAAGCATTGATCAAATTATGTTTGTGGCTTCAAAATGAGATGTTGACCAAAAATTTGAACTTTTGACTGTCAAATGACCATTTTGCCCCTACAGTTGACTGTAGTGCAATTAGGGTTTTTGACTGTGCAATTTTGTGCTGTAAGTCTTGAAACTTGGTATGAGGATGCTTGACCATATTTATAGGCATGTGAGACTTGATTGGACCCTTGGAAACTTCATTTTCTTGATCAGAACCAAAACCCTAATTTTGACTGTTTAGGAGGCCCTTGAACTGTGCAACCCTTGGGGAGATTTTGAAGCATTGACTTGACAAATCCTTGAAGAATATGGGAGGGCAAATTTTGGGGTACAACACCATGCTTTTCGACCAGTCATGTAATTTGAGCAACCATAGTCGAGGAACCAGATCTTATATTTGACATGGTTATCTGTAACTGCAACCATAACCATCATATCTTATGAATCATCTGAATCTTGATGTGTATGATTTGTTCCTTCATCCTTGCCTTTTGTTGATCTCTTATCTCTCTTGTACCAACAATTCTTAGCCAAGTGACCCTACTTTTTCCAGTTATAGCATTGCACATCATTTTTCTCTTCTTTGTCTTTATGATAGGTGTTCCCTTATCCTCTTTTTGAGGATTCAGAAGTCCTATCATCGGCCTTGTGCTTGTGAGGGTTCGATCAAGACTTCTTACTTTGATTTTTGTCTTCTTTGGCTTTGAAATTGTTGAAACCAACATGCTTCTTCCATGTCAGAGCCTGCAGTGCTTTTATCGAATCTTGAAACCCATTCCTTTCGACAATCCTAATCTCGTGTGCCTCTAATGAACCAATCAAATCTTCTAATTTTAGGTTTTCAAGATTGTTGGATTCTTGAATAGCTATGATAACGTGATCAAAGTGAGAGGTCAACATATGCATTACCTTCACAACTATCATCTTATCAGTTTGAGTTTCACCATAATCCTTCATGAGATGGACGAGATTTTGCACCTTCGACACATAGCCTGTAATCTTTTCATCTTCTCCCATCAACAACAATTCATAATGTCGTCACAAAGTTTATAATTTGACAACTTTGACTTTCTCACCTCCTTCATAGTACTTGACAAGAATATCTCATCCCTCTTTCGTCGATTCAGCATGAGAGATCTTATCGAAATTCTCCAAATTTACCGCCGATTAAATGCAATATGGAATCTTGCAATCTTTCTTTCACCTCCTTGTGTGCAGTTTTCTGCACGTCACTTGCATTTCAAGCAAGCTCTGGAACGTCGTTTTCGATCACTTCTAGGGTTTCATGAAAACCGAACAAGGACTTCATCAGCTTGCTCTATCGATTCCAATTTTTATCGTCAAGAATTGGAAGAAGAATTCGAAATTCCGTTAGTACCATTCATCTTTGCAGCGATTGATTCATGTTCCTTGGAAACACGATCACTAATGCGAAGTTCTTGAAAACACGATCAAGAACATGAACTGTAAGTTATAAATACCAATCTATTAGTGTGTGGAGCATTTTTAGTGAGAAGAGACAAAGAGAAAATAAAAGAAATAAAAATTGATATTATTGAATTGTATATAACTGAATTACAAACTATGTATATTTATATTCATCTACCTTATACACTAAATAGACTAACAAACTATAATTAGGTCTAGACTTAGATTACTCAACTTAGATTATATCTTATATCTTAACAAAAACATGACTATGACTTCAATTTCTCTTTAGTCACCACCTTCTTCAATAAACTTTGATAACGTGCTCAGAACTCTTTCAAGAAATATGTGGGATCTAATTTTTGAATATTTCCCCAATGATAGGGTTGAGAATGTCGATTTAGTAACATTCTTCTTTTATCATTTTTATAAAAACAAGCTCGCAAATAATGGTGACCTTTATTTAATCTTTAGTTTTTTCTCCATTTCTCAAATTCTTTAAGTTAAATTTTCCTCAACTTTTATATTGCTCTTATTTTAATTAATTTCATACATCATTTCAATTTGCATACATATATGTATAAGTCATCCAACAATTAATTACCAATATTGCCATTCATTGCAATCACAAACTTTCAATGACTAACTTAACTATACATATATTTATATATAATGTGAACCTAAGAGATAAACTATATACTATACATATAATTGAATGATCATGGACTGTAGAAGGAAGGGCCACATTTGCATTTCCAGCTCTCAGGTTCATAATTTGCATACTCAAGTCCCAAATGACTTCTCCTACTGCTTTTACTTGGAACTTGAATTGCTTCACATGGATTGCAACCATAACATTTATGCTCACAGCTTGGTGGACTTGACCCTATCTTGATGTTACTCATCCCTATATTCTCTGACTTCATACTTTCTCTTACCTTCATTTGCATAAACCATAAACCATGTTAATTACTAGTACTTAGGATTATAATTATGGTATAATAATACTAATAATAAATAATGCATCAAAATTTACATAATGTTTGAAAACTCACCTTTTTTGACTCTATGGTTTGGTATGGTGCTGATGCATCTTTTGGGTCTGATCATATATATTAATGATGTATTAATTATTAGTACTACTAAGTAAGTAAGATTTATGTACTTTAACTAAGATCTATGTTGAAAAGAGAAATAAAAATGATTGGTGTGAGGGTTAAATAACTAACCTGGATGGGACATTGCATCAGTTGAAAGAAATGATCTTTTAGCTACAGAAACACAAATCACTAGATTCATCATAGCTAGCATAAAATAAAACAATCTTCCTTTCATGATGAATGTGATGAAGATATATGCAACAAGATGTGATGATTAATGCTGAATTCTTGAATATATACTAACAAGAGAGAGTATAGGAGATGAGAAACTTGTTATTCCCAAAAAGATGACACTCTTTGAGATTTTGCTTTAGAAACACACAACTGATTCTGCTAGTTTCTTGTTACACACTGATCAACAAGTTTCACCTATTCATTTCACAACTACCTATAAACCTTACATTACTTGCTTACCTTTCAATACACTCTCTCTCCTTTCTATCTCAAATCAACCTAAAACTGTGCTGCTATATAAGGTTCTCTATTTGTTCAGAATAACAGCACCCAATTTCAGTCTATACATACCTATAACTATTACTATTAGTATCTTATATTTCTTTTTCAAATTCATTTAATAATCGATATATCTAGTCTCTGGTCACATATATGGACCAGACTAGACACATTATATTTCTTTTCAAATTCATTTAATAACCAATATATCTCGTCTTAGATAAGATATATAGACTAAACCAAATACAATATATTTCTTTTTCTGATTAATTAAATAATTGATGTATTTAGTGTTAAATCAAATATATAGACCGGACCAGATACATTATATTTCTTTTTTGATTCATTGAATAATTAATGTATATAATGTCAAATCAAATTTGTATATAGACGGTGTCAAATACATTATATTCATTTTTTAAAATTTATTGAATAACTAATGTATCAGATAAAATATATACATGTGGAGAGAATATTTGATATGTTAAAATAAATAACAATATAATATATTTTTTTTTAGACCTAGACTGATGAGCCTTTGTCTTATAGTTACTGTCAATACCATACTAAGGAAGAAAGAAATCAAATCGATATGGCACAGCTATAGTGTCAGTTATATGAAAATGAAAGCAAATAAAGAGCATCATGTTCTGAGATATGTAATGAACGAGTTTGTTATTAGTAGGGGAAAATTAAATGTTTTTTGTACTACTAGGGTCAACTTTTTATGAGTTGGTTGTTGTTGGGAAACAGGTAAGTTATCTTTATCAATATCAGATTTGAGCCATTCATTTTTTTATGGAATTTAATTTGGGTGTGTACTGATCTAAGAATCTGGTGCATGATATTCTCACATTCAATGAGTACCTCTCTCTTTATTATGGTGTACTATGTTTGGAGTGTTTTACACTGCTTCTATGGAAAGTGACAAGAAAATGAGAGAAAATATGTAGATATAGAAATTGGGATGATTAATTTTTGTCCATCATAAAAATAAGGTGTAGATCATTTTTAACTCCTTAAAAAATAAATCTGGTTAATATAGCAAAGAAAAAAAGTCTATCATTTAGTTTCTAATTAAAAAATAGTAACCAAAGAGTACAAATTTGTTTTAGTCTCTCACAAAAAATTATAGAGCTTTTATAGTTCTCTACAAAAAATTATATCAATATAATCTCTAAATTGATATTTTTCACTTATACCAAATCTTTCATCCACAGCCACCTCCTTTTATGATATTCCTCATATATATTGGAAGTTGAAACTTAACAACTCTATCATCAATGTCTCAATTTTTATGGTCTAAAAACAAATTGTTCCAAACAATTTGGAAGCTCTGTTCTATTTTAAAATTAAGTCTTTAATAGATGAAAATACAACAAATTAAAAATATATATGTATATTTCATTTAAATTATAAATAAAATTAAATATATAGAAAAAATGATATAGAAATATTGTATTGAAATTTAATTCATCAAAATTTAGTTTTTCACATTTTCCTTCTCTTACAATCATCAAAGTTTAGTTTTGACCAAATACCTTTTGTCGTTCCTTAACTTTACATCGGGATCTATTTTGGTCCATTTGTTTTTAAAATATTCAAATAGACCTCTTATCTATTAAATTGGTGGCACATTTGTCCTTCCGTTTGATTCTGTTAGTGAATTCATTATCTCTTATACATGTGGCTTAAATAAAGGTTGATGTGGATATAACAAGGATATAATATCAACAAATGAAAAGATAAATTCAGAAAGTGAAAGGCTGTGCTTCAGAACTTCTACAATGAGCTGGTGGTGTCGAAGGGAAGTTCATCGTTTTGCATGCGTGTTTGAAGGCGAAATTGAAGGCAGGTTGAAGGTTTGAAAGCGCCTTTGAGTACATGTTAGATATTTTTGGCATTTATTCATTCTGACAGTGGTAGAAAATTAGGGTTTTTCATGTATTCGTTCTGATAGTGATAGAAACTTAGGGGTTTTCTTGTTTTCATTCTGATAGTTGTAGAAAATTAGGGTATTTCATGTTTTCGTTCTGATAGTTGTAGAAAATTAAGGTATATCATGTTTTCGTTCTGATAGTTGTAGAAAATTATGGATTTTCAAATTTGTTCTGTTTCAGGGTTTTGTCAGTTTGTTTAGTAATTTGAAATTTTATTTAAGTAGGTGTAATAGACAAGTTTCTAAAACTAAGAATTCATCATAGTGGTGAATTCATTGATGGTGAACTTAGTGCTTATGAAGGAGGAGAGGTTAATGATTTGAAAATAGATGTTGACACATGGAATTATTTTGAGTTGATAGGTGTACTAAAGGAGTTAGGTTATAGGGATTTCGAGAGAATCTATTACAAGGACCCCTCATTTGGGATGAATGCTTTGGTTGATGATTAAGGTGCATTAGAAATAGCTGATATTTACATAGTTCATCTAAGTGTTGACATCTATATTCAACACATGTTGTTTCAGCCTGATTACTATGATGGTCCTATAGAAGAAGAAGTAGACAGCATTGGCATTATAGATGAGGAGGAATATTTGCTATCTAAAATGTATGAAGAAGTAGTCATTGGGGAATATAAGTTCAAGGAAGCTGAGGAAGTGAATTTTGTTGTGTAGGGTGATAATTAAAATTCTGGCCCTTTCAAATAGATGTCAAGACTGATGTCCTAACACCAAAACACAATATCAAGACAGATGTTAAGACATCATCCGTTGACAGAATACTTTTACCAAAATAATAAATTATGCATAAGTAAATTGCAGAAGGTAAAAGACACAATTAATTTTTAACCCGGTTTAATTCAACTCACCTACTCTAGGGGCATCGAAGGAAGGAAGGAAATCCACTATGATAGTATAGTTCAAAGCAAAACAATCCTAGTTTATAAATTATCACCTAATCACTACCTTATACAACTACTACCTATGAACCTCCTAGATATGAGAATCCCCTCTCACTTCCCACACTCACCTCAGTGACAATAACAAAAATAGAAGAACACACTTCCAATTACAATACTCAGTTTTGCTTAAAAGCTTTTGACTGAGAATAATAACTTGACACATAATCTACTCTCTGCTTAAAATCTCATGAGTGATTGGCAAGTAACAATGAACAATCAATCTACCTCAATGTATCAAAGAGTACATGGGTGACATACAAAAACAAACAAAGCACACTAAAAATACTCTCAAAATCATAAACCCTTATCTCATGAACACACAGTTCCTTGATGAAAATTCTTGTTATTTTTAGGTTTAGTGAGTCCTTATATAGAGACTCTTGCACTATGGGCTTGGTCTCTTCACACAAATCCAATCTTCCAGTTGTAAATCATCTGTAGAATCTTCTCCATAAAAATAGGAATAAATCTTCAAAATTTCCTAAAAAGTCTCCAAGATCCTTTTTATGAAATCAAATCAAATCTGCAATGTTTCTACAAAATCATTGCTTAGCTGCGACCATATGAGATATAAAATCATCTATAATCTCATATTTTAAAATCAAATCTTCAAGGATTTAAAACTGCAGAACTGTACTGATGTTCTGATATAATACGTCACAACATCTGTCAGAATATCTGTCAAGAAAATAACAACAACATCTGCTGAACAGTTGTTCAAGATGTCACAACATCTTGTCCAACATCTGGCTTTGATACATATTTTCCCATATGAAACATGTTTTATCAAAATTGTTGACAATCATAAAATTACAGACCTAACAATAATGTTGGTGTGTAGGGTGATAATGTTGGTTTGCAGGGTGATAATGTTGGTGTGGAGGATGGTGAAGTGCATGATAAGTTAAGTATTGATAGTGAAGATGACAGTGAAGATAAGTTGTATAAATATGATAGTGCTCGAGAGGTAGCTTTTGATGACTCGTCTGATGGGTATGATGGTTTAGAGGAAGATGACGTGGCTAATCAAATTGAATATGAACAACATGATGAGGGGAAAGGCAAAAACAAAAACAAAACTGGGAAGAAGACAAGGAAGAATTTAAAGGGGGTGATAATGATAGTGAACAACTAGTAAGTGGGTGTGATAATGATGATAGTTGTGGTACTACAAGAAAGACTTACCCAATATTAAAGATGTAAAAGGACATGAAAAATTAAAAAGGGAAGTAAGATGTATTTTAGTACAAAAGATGAATTCAAGGAAGCCATAACATCACATGTTGTCCAAAGTGGTAGAAATCTTAAGTTCACTAAAAATGACAAAGTAAGGGTGGGGGTTAGATGTAAGGTTGGTTGTGAGTAGGAAGCTTATTGTGCCAAATTTCTAAATGAAGAATCTTGGAAACTAAGGAAGGTAAATGGTAAACATGACTGTAGAAAAGATTATAATGTGAAGATGATGACTACCAATTGGCTGAGCAGGAGGATTCAAAACTCTTTAAAAAAGCAATCCTAGGATGAATATAAAGGATATAAAGGCGAAGGCACAAAGGAAGTGGAATTCATGTGTCAACAAGACTAAGGCTATAATAGTAAGATTTAAAGCTAGAGATATGGTTGATGGTTCATTCTTAAGGGAATACACTAGAATATATGACTATTGTCATAAGTCGTTATGAGCAAACGCAAGGTCCACTGTGAAGCTTAATGTTGATCATGTTTAAGAATGTTTAGATGATCAAAGACACTATTTTAGGAAGGATGTACATATGCTTTGCAACATGTAAGGAGAGCTTCAAGTTATCTATACATGTCATAGGACTTGATGGTTTCTTTCTAAAGGGGATTTGTGGAGGTCAGATTCTGGCTGCCTAACTTTTTCATCTAACTTCAATATCTTGTTCATCTGACTTTGAAGTTGAATCATCTATTTCCTTAATTATTCACCTGAAAACCTAACACAACTACGGAAAAGGCATACACCAACTGTTGGAAAAATATATAATCACGTAGTACCAGACATTGTTATGTAGCGTGTGGTTGTATATGCATTACTTACAATCACGATCTAGTGACTGTTGTAGTAAAATATATATCACAATGATTGACATAAACAATTATTGTCATGAATATAATGTCATGGGTTTGATACCCATCTACAACCAAAATTAAAGCGCATAAAAAATAATATTTCACCACAGTTATAAGTTCCAACCGTTGTGGAATATATAAGAGTTTATTATTAATATGGGATTGCTTGTTTTTCCATGCCCCTCGATAACCATATACAACCATTCAAATAGATTTTTGAGGTAATATTCAGAAAAATTAAATTATTCTTGAGAAACAACTTAAAAGATTCAATGTTTTTCGAATTGCATGCCTCTTGTAAATCACGATTTCCTCTTTAGCCTATAGGATTTGATTCAATCCTAAATTCTTTAAAGTAATGTTGATGAATGGATGCCACTCTGAGTCTTTTACACATGATTTGATTTCCTTTTCTTTTCTAGTTTATTTTTCAAACATCAAGATTTGTGTGAAAGATCCAGACTGGTGCCCATTTATCAACATTGTTTTAAAGAATTTGTGGCATTGAATTAAATTCTATATGCTAAAGAGGGAATTATGATTTACAAGATACATGCAATTTGAAAAAATATTGGACCGTCTGAAAAAATCGGCTGGAAATCATCAAAAAATAAAGTCGCCATCAAATGTCTTTTATCCCACATGGAGAGAAAGGTAAACATCGAGAAAACCTAAGAAGGGAGAAGTCACGGCCTTGCAACCAAGAGACCGGGTAAGGGAGTCTGTTACGCGAGGGGAAGGTATTAGCATCCCACACGTCCATAGTACTCTACGGTATCCACTCTTGTTATCTATCTTATGGGGGTGTTCAATCTATGTTTACTGCTTATTACTAAGAAAGAATGCATGCAAAAGAAAGGAGAAAATAATATAAGGAAAATAAATTTGTGCTTGCTTGGGCCCTATCCCAATGCCTACGTATCCTTTTTGAGGAATCAGAGTTACCGTAGTTCAGCTCACATGCTTTAATTGTTTTATGTTTTTTATGAACAATGTTAATTCCACCTTCTGTCGCAGCTTGACTCCTTTGGAGACTCACGCGTTGGAACAAAAGTAAATTAATCATGTCCTTATCTTAAAATGGTTTTGAGTTACGCCCTCAAGACAAGATGTCACTTTTGATTGGTTTGTATTTTGTTACATAGAAAAAGGGTTTAAGTGTGATTAGCATGTTTTATGATTTGCTAAGGAAAGAAGAGTTTTAGTTTTAAATGCATATGCAAAAAGGGAGGAAACAACTAAGGGAGACTAGCCTAGCACTAATCCTAATGTTATCATACAATGATAGTCCTAAGGTTTGGATTGACATAAGGGAAACGTCTACCTAATTTTAGCATGCATGGCTTGCAGCCTAAGGTCTAACTTGCATCCGAAAGGAACAAGCATATCCTAAGGGAACATGGTACGTAAAGTGAGTAAGAAAACAAGCTCAAAAGAGCACACAAATAAAATGGTAAGGAAAATAAGTGAAATGCTTTAGCCAAGGGGAGCGTATCACCTGAGACAAACAAGCGGGAGTATGATGTAAAACAAAAGTGTGATGCCAAAAGCGACTGAACAACTAACCAAGATATAGAAGATTGAGGTAG